CAGTAGTTTTTGAAAAAGGAAAACAGAGGAGTTATTGTAACTTGACACAACAGCTAAGAACAAATCTGTGGCAGGTCAAAGACACAGCAAAAGCAAAATGGGTCCTTGACAAACCTGTCTCCTTTTCAGTCATCCAGAACACTGACTCAAGATTGCAGAAGTTTTTCTTCCTGATGCTTTGCTTTTACATATAATTAAACTAAGTAGTTTCCTAAATTACCAGATTTTATACTGTTAAGACACAAGTCTGATATCTTGGTCAACAGAGGGGAAGAAAAACCTCCACAGTGCGGTCTTGTGTGACAGTGGGTGGTATCTGTTTCAGCATCTTATAAAAATAAATGCAAGAAAGCATAGCTCAATCTTATCTTTAATGCATTTCAAGATGAATATATTTTTTATGAAAGTGCTACATTAAACCACAAACTATTCACAAAGATTAATTATGAGTATCACCATAAAAAACTACTTTAAACTGTGCAACCATCATAATTGTAGAGATGATCTCAGAAAAGTCAACACAATTCCTGCTCAACATTCAACCAGCATACAACTTCCATGGAAAATTTATACGTAAGAGGAATAAAATGGCAAATTTAATTATTTCTTTCTTTTGTGATGGGATATTTTTTGCATAAAGCTGTCGAATCTGTTTCCATCTTACATATTGTGTTTTTAAAAAAAGAAAAACTGAACTCTAAATTTAGCTTCATACTTTGAACAGAAGCAGTATTTTATGCTATTTAGTATGATCTAATGTTTCACCACCAAACAGATGTCATTCTGTCTATTAGAATTCATAAATATTAAAGCTCTCAAAGTTAAACTATGGATTCCATTTTATTAACTACATTTGAACTTAATTATGCCATTGGTGACTTAAGAAGCATAATACGCCCATCCATGCTGAATATGAAAAGGAACAATTCCATTAAATTACTGAATATTTCATTATACACAGGTGACTCAGTCTGTAGCATAATGAACAATCATAATGGACAGTCAGTGTCACAACATACTATTAAACTAAGTGCTTCGGTGTCAAAAGAGGAATGCTCTTACAAATCAGCTAATCTACGTTTAAAGCCAGTGCAACTAAACTGTCCAAAGGGCTGAGGTAGACAGTATCAAGTCACATTTTATTCCTGAATAAATGTGTCCAGGTGTGGTGTTTTGCAGGAACAGCCATTGTGCTTTGAATGCACCACCTTAGTTTGAATCACTTCTCAGGCTTAGATAAGCCTGTGTTTCCCAGTCTCAGCAGAAGCACTGCAAGATACATAGGGCAATGTTGGTTATGGTTATTATAATTGCAGCCACTGCAGAGACGTCAGAGCTCCCCCAAAATGTGCCGAGTTCAAAACCAAGGAGCTGCTTCCTAGCACATATGCAGTTTTCACAGTGTGGAACAAAATGAGCAGCATGCTCATATCCCGGGCAAAAATGACTAGGAATTTTTTTCTCCTCTCATTTGGTAAGATCAACAGGCAGGAGAAGAGAGGTAAAGCATAGATGACTTCTGTTAATACTAACACATACAATGGCCTTCCTTCCAATCAGTTGCAGTTACTAGCACATGCACCAGCATTCAGACAACTTGCCATCATCACTGCAGTAACAGTGCCAAGCACTGGTGCACCAGAAAATGCTTAACAGGGGGCAGGGGGTGGGGTGGTGGTGAGAAAAATAACGAATAAATTCTCAGTATCTTGCACTGACTATCTGTTGTTTTGTCAAACAGATTTGTACCTTCAGGGGAATAGGGGTGGAAGTCACAATACATTAGTTAATACCACATAAAAACCTAAAGCAGGGAGAAGTCTGGGAGGGAAGAGGGAACATGACAGCATTTAAATGTAGAAATTGTAACTACTGTATAGTGTATAAAAAGGTAATAGTGGTTAAGTCTGCATAAAGAGAATTGATAAATGACTGCCATGTAAAACCGAAAACACAAGAAAGAAACAGCCTATACAGTTGTGATTCTAACTTAAAGCATTGATTTTATTTTTTCAGTCTCAAAGAGTTGAGGGTAGGGGTGGAAACCTTTTCTGTGAACGCAGAAAGGGCATGCATAGCAGAATTGAGGAACACTGCATTTGCTAAAGAAAAAAAAAAATCCCTCAAATGCTAGCATCTGCTCAGTAATTTTGCTTTGTTAGAGAACCATGGCAGATTATTTTTTTGTACCCAAAGTCATTCATTCACAGTCATGTAGCAGATGAATTATGCTGAGGAAAGAACTTAGTCTGGAAAAAGCTGCAGACCATAATACTCTGGGGAGAAAGGGCTGCTGTGTGGAACAATCTGTTATACCCATCCCTAAGCAGACAGAGCAGAACAGCAGCCTCCAAAGCCTTTACATAAAAACATTGTTACAAAGAGGAAAAAGAGTCACAAACATTTTAACTTCAGTCATTGCCTACTGCCTTTTGAGTATATCCAGCTTCACAGGTGGCTTTTTTGTAACAGCTGAAAATACACACCGCAATGGACCAAACCTTGTCGTCTTTACAAGTCTGAAACAATAGCTGAAAACATGACATTTTATTCTCTGTCCTTGCTTCTAAAGAACTAACTTTTCAGGGTGAGAAAATACAGGGTTGACAGGAGGAAAAAGAGAATACTATCTATTCTCCTCCTCCCTCATTTTAGATTTCAACCAAATCAGGTTATATACAGTAGCAGCACGATAGAAAACTATAAATTCTTGTAGTACTCTCTCCACCGCTCACTCTCTTCAATCTCCTTTTGCTTTTATCCTGTCAGTCCCCCTCTCACTGACACATTCCCTGTTATTTTATCCACAGCCTGTCACACCTCATATTCTACTTCACTAATCTGCTCATTATCAAGTGCAAAATACACCGGGGGTGGGGTGGGGGTGTGATTTTGGTCCAACAAATGGTTAAGTAAAAAAAGGACTGAAAAAGGAAACTGCAATGATATAAAAATTGCATAAATTGACATAAGCTTTGTATTGAAGGCCAGGTTGGATGCTTTGAGCTTTGAGCAACGATGCCAGGCTTTGAGCAACTTGGTCTGGTGGAAGGTGTCCCTGCCCATGGCAGAGGTGTTGGAACGAGATGATCTTTAAGGTCCCTTCCAACCAAACCATTCTATGATTTTACGATGATTCTGCAATTCCCCTCTTTTCTCCAGTTTGGCAACAACATTCTTGCGCTTACACGAGTAAAAATGGCTTTCTACCCTATGTGACTAAAACCTGAGTATCACCTCATCCATAATGCAAGAGGAAGGCCTATTACCCCTTTTAAATAACATTGTTGGAACTTACTACGCTAGCACTAGGAGGCCAAATCAGAAAACAAAGGAGGACTGACTGGAACAGGGCAGAAAATCCTGAATAGTTAATACTTTATACTGGTCATTCTTTAAGTCTATGGCAGGAAACTATTTGCCTAATAATTTGCCAAGGGTTTTTAAATAAAAATAGTTCAAAATATTACGCCCCAAGCTAACCACTAGTATTACACTGTACTACTATAACTTTACATTTGTGTGGAATGTTCATAGAAGAGAACATGAATTTACTCCAGTGATTTAACAGCATTTTATTCTATAGATGGTAAGAATGTAACTGCTTAATTTATAACATGCCTAAGTTACAACAAAAACTGGTACCTTAAAGTCCTTTAAAAAAACCACATAAAATTCAGCTAGAAGTGTGTAGCTGGTGCAAACAGAACTTCCAGAACTTTACTGTCCTCTTTCACTGCTCTGAACATAAATCTCTATTAGTGCATGGATGGTACGTTTCATTCATTTGTTCTTATGAACTACCGGTGGAAAAATATACAGAATTGTATGGCACATTAATGCCCATCCGCACTTCTCTTCATAACCCACTGCACTGTTGGAATAAAGACCAAGACACTGACCATGGTGTTTCTTCTGAAATACACACTATAGGAGAAACCTGTGCTAGCCCTTAAAGACAGCAAGCACCGAAACTGTTATTAGTACATCGGCATGCCTAACAATTTATTCTGGAAAGTTCTAGTCTAATATAGCTCTTATGACACACATCCCCAAGTGTGCTGGATCACAGCTAACAGTATTTTTATATTTAATCTCAGTTTTCAGAGCATATACACTACACATGTTAACTGTGAGGAATAAGAAAAACTCTAGATCAATAATCTATCCAAGCTCCAGCCTAATAAACTTAAGGCTGACCTACACAGACTTGTATGGAAGGGCCCAGAAGACGACAAACTCTCATTTCTAATCTACAACTCCATGTGAACCATAATATTCTGCAGCAGGAAATGTCTCCATCCTCTTTTCCCATTTAAAACTGCATATTTTAAAAATAAAAGATGTGAAGAAATATTTCTAATCAAATCTGTCTGTAAGCTAGCATTGAAGAAAAAAGAATAAATGTTTGTTTAGAAATCGGAGTATCTTTAATTAAATTCTTACTGTGTTCTTGAAACCTTTTTAGGCTAATCTGCAGAAAAAAAGGAGAGGTTTATTTTAACACGCAGCTCTACAACTGCCTTAAAATGATAAGAGATTGTATGGATGCTGAAGAATCAAGTCCTATTGATCTGACTTAATGTGCAGATCACCACTGCTGACACAAAGCAGACAACAGAAACATGGCTAGGGAAACACTGACCTTTAATTTAAACACATATAGAACACTTGAAGCACAACTGAACTATACCATTCACAGATGAATGGGTTATGAGGAGGTAGGGAATTGTGTCAGCCTAATTATACCAGAACAAAAGCGTGTCTGTGCATGCATAAAAAAAATTTTGGAATATTAAGCATATCTTCCTGCACACAAGATCCTTTCATACATAGTTGCATAGTTTTCTTGTCCCTTAGAGATAAACAGAAAAGACAGAAAGCAAACTACTGAAATCAGTGACAGAAACATGAAAGAAACAAGGACTTTCTTCCCTAAATGACAACAATAATGTTTTCATTGAAGAGTTATCAGCTTCATTTACTCTGGAGTGCCATACCTGTTGAAGTTAATGTCTGGATAACTAGAATACTCAGACTTCATCTTCGCATTGCGACGTGGAAAAGTACAGAAGAAAGCATTGGCTAGAAAACTAGCAATCTGTTCCTGTGACATTGTGATGGAGTGATTCATCTTTTGTTTCAGTAGAGGTATTGGCTACCAACAAAAGAAGTGAGGGGGAGGGAGGGGCAGGAGAGAAGGGAAGAAAGGAGAGAGAAAAATAATTAGCTTACCTGTTTTAAAAGAAAAAATAGGAGGGCAAAAATCACATTTGTTAAATTAGAGCAAGAGTAATTTGGGCCATTGGTGAGCCCTTTAATCAGCAGCACCATTAAAGTCAAGAACAGTTTATTCCAGACAATTCAGAAAAAGCTTGCTTGACAAACTGCAGATTTCTAATCAATAATAAAAAGAAAGACTGAGAAAACACAACTTATCCAACAAAACCATGAGGAATGGAGAGGGAAAAAAAAAAAAATAGATGGGATGTTGCAAATCCTAGGCAACCTTAAAAACCGAAATAAAAACACACTTTCAATAGCTGTAGAGTTAAGAACCCTTAAGGAATGCTTTCACCTACAATAATCATGCTTTATACTTTACAAAGAAATATGGAAATCACACTACAGATGATCACTCTCTGACTTGCTTTGAATTTTTTTCCATCCTATTTGAAGAAATAACACTGATAATATTTGCAGAAAGTGCATGATTATCCATTCTTTTATAATCAAAACAAACAAAAAGCTCAGCTTCACTTTGGAGTTTTATTTGATTCTCGTCAGAGTTTCTTTAATATAAAGAAGAAACAAAGGGGCAGAGGGGACCAAAAAAACCCCCAAAGTGTTATATGTCTTCCATTTTATCAGGCTTTAGCCTCCTGATTTGGAATTTTTGTGCACGCTTTCACAGCATTTTTTTTAATTATGTGGTAATACTTGCGGGGGGGGTAGGGTGGGCAATATTATTCTGACTGCTAAGGAGTCCAGTAACAATTACAATAAACCCACTTGACAGCAGAAAGAACACAGTTTTCACCTCTTCTTCTAATATTCTCAGCCATCATCATTGGCCTAGCTCCAGGAAAGCTAAGCAGCTACATTTTAATCCTTTTAGTTGTGAATACAGAAATTGCTACTAATTTAGACTGTTGAATATACAGCCCTGTTTACTCCACAAAACAAACAAGTTTTCCTTCATTCTTATAGCTACCACATTCACATTCACTGAAACTCATTCCGTCTTCTGGCTATTTAATTAACAAGCTATATAATGATGTCTGAAGTCACACAGCTAGAGGGGGAAAAAACACCTCAGCAGCTCCCTAATAAGTTCTACAAACCTATAAAAATAGGATATTTTAGACAGTATGTTATATTGGAACAAATTTAGCTTTATGTCTAACCAAAAAAAAAGTCTGAAGCTCTTTACAATTTACACTGCCTAACAGTACATCATCTTTATAAAAAGGCATTACTGCATGAACTTGCAAGTCTTATGCTTGACTTCGTGTTCAGAAACTTCATAGCATTCTCAAAAACTTCCCCCATCAATTGAGTAGTAAAAAAAAAGTTTAAGAAATATTCATACTGTTTAAAATTATATATGTACTGTAGGACTCCCACAGGATAACTAAGTAGGGACAGATTTTCCCTGCTCCTGTCCAACAAAATCAATTCAGAAAGTTATAACAAAGGAGCTTACAAATTAGAGTCGTTACCCTGCTAATGTGTTACCTATCATACACCTTCACTTCTTGATCTGTCCTATTCACTTTTATCAGCTTTACTACCTACAGAACTGATTCCCATAACAATAATAAAGAATTAGTTAAGATTTGTATGTGCGCAAGTATTGTGATGCTTGAACCAGAATAAAATACGCTCCCAAATAAATGAAGGCTTTATGAAAATACTACTTCCTAGGATTAAAAAATTTCCAAAATGAATAACTTCAGACATCTCATTTTTTTAAGTATTTCAGTTTATAAGTGTGATTTTCAAACCTGAAAGGTTTCAGGGTCATTTCATTTAAGAAAAGCAAGAAGCAACTCCAGCATATAGAAAAGAAAGTGCTACTGAATTTCAGGCTAAAAATATGACAGCGAGAGATACATTTTTTTTTTAACATTCTATTATAACATTATAGATGGGCATTGTCCATTCTGCTCCCTAGGCCTCAGCTACATTCAACACAAAAGCTATAGCTTTTATTAAGAACATAACATGATCCTGATGTTTTGACCTTAGCCATTAGTTACAGGTTGCAGAAAAGTGGTCTACCACAGAGCACTTAGCTAGCTGGGTTTACTTACCTGGGTGCAGATACTGGGGAGACAGAGCGCCAGCTTGACCATGTCAGGAAGAATGGACTGGAACAAATGTTGAGCCTCTGCATCTTCAAGAACCTGTTAAAAAAAAAGTAAGGGAAAAAATATTTAAAAAAAAAAAAAAATCAACCACACACACAAAACCCACAAACAAAAAAAAGGCTTTTACCTCAAAAATAATGATTGTATGAAAAGTTTGTGAAAACAGGACCCAACCAAAAGATAAGAGAAAAAAAAAAGTCCTGTAACTCCACACACACAAGTCTGTAGCATTTTTCATGGTAGTACCTTATTGCATTTTACCTTGCAATAATCCACTAATTGAAATACAGAAACAACTCTCAAAAGTTGCAGTTGAGAAAACATGTCACCAAATGCCCTATAAAGGAACCTTGAGTAAGTTATTGTATGACTTCATTCATTCCAAAGCAATGAACCAAATTCTCAACTGGTAACAATCACGACCTAACCGCAAAAGTACTGGAACGATTTACTTAACTTTCACATTCAGGTCATAGTCCAAGACAAGTACCTGTGACATTCTCCTGGCTAAGGACACATGAAAAGCACTGCTGGGTCAGATCAGTGGTCCTCAGCAGCAGCAGCAACTGGAAATGCTATGTAAGAAGAGCATGCAAGGCTGGCTGCTTTCTGCTGTTCACCTCCAACCATGTTCCCTCAAGAACTATAGCTCTTGGATCACATACGTTAAAGGGTACAGCCTGCCTGGTCCCACATGCTGAAGTTGTAATCTTTTCAGCTTCTTCCTGTAAGACAGCTGAGCCTACAACTATTTTAGCTGCCCTTCTCTACCTGTTCTAACATTCCTCCCAAGAATGAGAGACCAGAATTGACAACACTCACAAAAAAATGAGCACACCAATGTTTCACAAGGGTTCTCAAAGCTTTTACACTCAAGACCTAATCACATCAAGCCCTTCTTGTCCTATTCTCAACTCCCCTCCAGACACCATGTGGCCCACTGTTTGGCTGCCAAAGCGTATCAAGCCAATGTATTCAGAGAAAGTCCAGGATCTCTCTTTTAAGTTGGAACTCCCAGTTCTGATCTCAACATCATGTACCCAGGGTTTAGATGAACCCACCCACACCCCCATTCATATATCGTACACCTATTTTTAAGAGGTGCAAGAGGTTCTTTACGGTGAGCAACGCTCTTCTAAGAAAAGCTAGGATAGGCATAGGAATGGGAGGTTGTGAAAAGAAAAGCAACATAAAGCAGTGCAGTTGCAATACCCAAAGTGGCACAAAAGCATGCCGTATCCTCAAAAGTCTCACATTCTGCTGTATGAAGGGGCTGAAGTAAGATCAAGGAGAGAAAAGCACATTCTCCATCCTCGTGTGCAGTGGAGCAGTTTTTTCCCCGATATAGGGATCCATGCACCAGCTGTGACTGGCTGTCAGATTTGCATGCTGCATTTAAGGCAAAAGGCAGAGAAGAGAACATACAACTTGCACTACAGCTAGGGAACGGAAGATGAAGGCCACATTTCAGCCTTCTGCCTCCCTCCTTCCCCTACATCCAGGGAATTTCTATTTGAAAAAACTACCTTCTATCAGTTTCTAGATTAAAATCATTAAAATTCTGAAACTAACTTTAAAACTATAGAATATTATTTTTCAAGTAAAACTGTCAGAAAATAATTGAATTTACTACCAATTTCTCCCAAAAACAAGAGCAGACAGAATGGATGAAACAGCATCAAGGTATTATAAACTTCAGTCTCTGCAACATTTAAGACTAATTATGAAATCACAGAAAGTGATCTTTTTAGTCATATAATCAAAGCTTTGTAATTCACATGTCAATGGAAAGTTTCACACAGACTTCACAATGTAAAAAAGATACTGGCAATTTTCTTAAGAGGAAAGAAAATATGGTGCCTCTGTTTCAAAGCATACTGTTCCCCATAAATGCCAAGCCAAAAATATTGTTTGAAGGCTAACAACTTTTAACCATTAAAATAACTAGAGAAGTATCACTGTTCTATTCCCTCCTGTTCCAAGTGATATAAAAGAATAAGAGTGCTCAGGAAGTTAAAAAACAAACCACAAACAAATGCTCAAAGGACAAACAACTTATGGTAGGGAAGGGTGTTAAATAAAACAATCCCAATACCTACACAGTTACTTTCCATGCATGATGTATGCTGCTAATGGAGACACACAAACAAGGTTTTAATTTAAAGTTTCAAACTGAAACAAGAACTTACAAAGAACAGCAAGCCTAGGAAATATGAAAATCATTTCATATAATAGAGGAGGAATCCACATACATATACAACTTATTACTGAAAGTCAAGTTTTTTTAAGGTTAAGAAGTGAACAAGATACATCTCTCTCTCCTGTTGTTGGCTGCATATGCACTTACATATTTACAAAGTATAAGTCAGATATTGAAAATTATGACCTAACCGTTAACATCACCTGCTCTAGCAGGAAACTTTGCTCTGTTCGTAGGCACAATGTTTCTAAGTGCCATAAAGTAACAAAAGAAGTATTTAAAAGGCTGGAATTTCAGATCTCAATAGATAAAATGAATATGTAAGTTAAATCTATTCAAAAGATGGCATTTAACCTCAGATGTCTACCAGGCTGTCAAATTCTGATATTCTCTCCCCTTCGGGTAACAATTCCTCTCTTTTAAAGTTGACATACAAATAGTGGCTGCTATGCTTTGCTGACTGCCACAGACTATACAGTATCACTTATCTGGTGACACATTATGGCACTGGACTTTGTCATAGCTGTCAAGACTTCAACCTTTTCTTTATGCTTCTTTGAAAACAACATCATAATAGTATGAGACAATTTCTTCCCAAAACAGAAGCAGGGCCAGCAATTGCACAGCTCAGCTCTGATGCAGAATGCAAACTACAAAGGTCACTTCTTAAAGTCTGAAATTCTACTTTTTCCTTCTCTTTACCTTCCTAATGTACCAGAACATGCTCTACTCTCTACATTATTTCTATGCATGACTTTTACTAGACCTCCACTAACGAAAACCTCGACATTTGGAGCTGTTAATTCCCAGAAGTGTTCTCATTGGACTTCAGACAGATTATTCTTACACATAAATGACAAATAAGGTGTTTGGGTTTTTTTTGTGAAAAGTGTTGGGTGCCATGAAAATCTTACTACATTTTCACAAGGTAAGTCACTCAAAGGGACCCACAACTTTAAAAAGATGACCATTAGGAGTTCACAGATCTTGCTAAGAAACTCCTAGCTCTGCATCGTTCTCTAATCAAACCACTAAGCAGCTGAAGCATCCCTGTTCTGAATACTCCCTTATTTAGGCAAAGGTCTCCTAAATATTGCAGGGAAGCACATCAATAGTTTTCAAGCTCAAACATAGTTTGTTTCATTCCCAGAAATGTTTTAAATTCACAAAATAGCTGCTGCAGTGCATAATTTAAGAACTCTCTTGCTCAACTACAGGTGCTGGGTTTTGGTTTTTTTAACAAACAAACAAAAAAGATCTTTCTACCTAATAAACTTTCTCCCTAAGAATAACTCCTTGGGGAACTATTCGGTCCTGTGCTTCCCATTTATATCTTGAACCTATGACCTATTATTGAACAGTGGCAGTAAGCCAGAAATATGTAGCCTTCCCGGCTTTAAGTTTCTAAAAAAACCTAAGTAACTTGAGTCACGGCCACATCCATGTAACCTTTTCTGCCCACAGACTCTTCCTGCACAGGTAACATTCTTATGAGGTTTCTATGAAAAACAACACCTGCAAACCCCTGGCTGCTTCACCCTCATCCTCTTTTGACCACTAAACCAGCACGCCACCACAGCTGCAGCTTTGTAGAACAACCACTGTCACTGTATATTCTCAGCTACGCTCAGCGCAACACAGAGCCTGATTTTATCTGTGACAGTCTTTTCAAACTTTGAAAGCAGTAAAAAGGAACACTCCATCATGGGACCTAAAAGGATTTCAGGACGTGGAGTGCTGACACCACAGCTACATCTGACAGACATCCCATGATGCAAATGCCAACCTGGGAGAACCTAGCAACTGCACAGAGAATACCTGGTCACAGAACTGAATGAAGGTTTATTTAGAAGGAAACTCTCTTCAGGAAGCAGTGACTTATACTGATGTAAAATCCAGCATATTTAGAGTCACATTACATATTCTACTTCTTTGTTGTTGCTGAAAGAGCAATGTGTCATTCTATACCCCTCAAACACCCCCCACCCCCCCCATTTCACCAGTTCCCATCCGATAATTTCCTGAAATCCTTCAGCTTGCTAACGCTACAGGAAAATAACTTGGGGGTGGGGGGAAAGGGGGGTAGTCTCCCTCTGCGTTAGTAAGTCAAACCAGCCTACCAAAAAGTCATGCATTATTAGATGTTGTGCAGGGTGGGTGGTAGGTGACACAGAACCAGTCACACCCCTTGTCAAGGGGCTACAAAGGCAGATATCAGTCGCAGCTCTTCTCACTGAAAAAGCAGTAATATTCTAGTTAGTATGAAGCTGTTACAACAAGCACCTCGCTTTGAAATAAATCTGCTAGTACAGAAATGTCTGTATTGATTCAGTAACATGCTTTTAACTGTGTACAATATTTTTCAAGGCTACAACTATGCAAACATTAAGAGAAAAAATTGGATTTCCATTTTTTAAAAACTAACATTTGTTTTATAGCTTAGGGAATTCTAGAATACGAAATGGTTGTCAAGATTTTTGATAAAGGAAAATACACTAAGTATCACAGCAATTTTGTTTTTAAACAATTGATCAGTTTCTCCTTTCCTTATTATGCATACATGTGCTTTGCAGCTTCCTTCAGGATTTGAAATAAAACCAAAAATATATTGTTGACTTTATTCATAGTCTTCCAATCATACAAAAATTTATTTAGGAAAGAAATAAAAGCAGGGTTTATACCCTGAGGGAAAAGTATACAGATTCAGAGTTGCAAAGCATGACTTGCTTTTTGCCAAAGAAATCACTTGGCGATTTCATCAGTATTTGCACTGGAGCGACCGATTAAATGAACACGACTTAGGGCTTCAATTCATAAGATGCAAATGGTTCAGCGA